AATATGTTTTTTTGATAACTGTAGACCCACTACTGAACCATTTATTTTATCATCACACACATTTCGATTTTTCCTGTTTCTCGGTTTCTATTGAATAGTCAGTAGTAGATTGGTCGTAACTTGCTCAATAAAAATCCAATTGACGAGTGGTTCAAATCTTTGGAAACTAGACAGACAGAGCTTTAATTTAATATATTATAACCTGAATTTGGATAACTGTAGACCCATTGCCAAATAATTCATTTTATCATCACACACATTTTTGTTTCCCCCGTTTCTCGGTTTTTACTGAATAGTCAGTAGTAAATTGGTCATAACTTGCTCAATAAAAATCCAGTTGACAAAAGTAGTTTGAATATTTGGAAACTAGACAGACAGAGCTTTAATTTGATATGTTATAACCTGAATTTGGATAACTGTAGACCCATTGTTGAACAATTCATTTTATCATCACACACATTTTGGTTTCCCCGTTTCTCTATTTCCACTGAATAGTCAGTAGTAAATTGGTCATAACATGCTCAATAAAAATCCAATTGATGACGGTTTAAATATTTGAAAACTAGACATATAGAGCTTTAATTTGATATATTATATGCTGAATTTGAATAACTATAGACCAATTGCCGAACCATTTATTTTATCATCACACACATTTTGATTTCCCCCATTTCTCGGTTTTCACTAGACAGTCAGTAGTAAATTGACCATAAATTGCTTAATAAAAATCCAATTGACGAATGGTTTAAATATTTGGAAACTAGACAGGAAGGACTTTAATTTGATATATTATACGCTGAATTTGGATAATTGTAGACCCATTTCCGAACAATTGATTTTATTACCACACACATTTAGGTTTTTCCCATTTCTCAGTTTTCACTGAATAGTCAATAGTAAATTGACCATAAATTGCTCAATAAAATTCTAATTGACAAATGGTTTGAATATTTGGAAACTAGATAGATAGAGCTTTAATATGATGTATCATAGGCTAAATTTGGATAACTATAGACTCACAGCTGAACCAATCATTTTAATATTCTATATTAATATATCAATTAACATCAGCATGCCCATTGATAAAAAAGTTAAACAAGTACTACATTTTTATATCATCATTTTGCTAAAATCTATTTTTTTGTTCTCCCTCTTTTTGATGGTCTACCTGTGCCTCTTTTTTTCTTTCTCCACATCTTTTGCTGCATATGATATTTGTACTGCATTTTTATCAAACATTCTTTGATATGAACAGAAAGACATAGCCTTCATTTGCTTCAACACCTCTGAATAACACTTTTCAGCCTACAATAAAAAGAATAATTTTAAAATTATATATCAACAAATTAAAAGTTAAATAGGAATACATTACATTTAGAAACACATATTGATTCAAGTCTACCTTGCAAATTTTCTATATTCAAAGCCAGTTGATGTTTTTCATTTGTTAAGCTTTCTATCTTTGTTCCAATAAAAAAAACACAAAAACGATAAATAATACTTGATAAAATATGACATTTAAAATAATTAAAAAAACAAACATATTCTAAAACAATTTTAATACCTTCTTTCTCGAGTCAAAATACAAGCTTTTGTATTAGACACATTCTCACGAGGAGAATATTTTGTTTCTTGACTTTGTAAAAGTTTTGTTAAGTAATCAAGTTTGTCTTCCAACTTCTTCTTTTCAGAAACTAGTACACCGTTTGCTACTTCCTCAAATACAACAACTTCATCATCTCTCTCACTTTCAGTAAACACAACTGAATCAATCAAACGATCAATTTCCTATTGCCGACTATCTGAAACCAAACCCTCAAGCCTTACAGAACGTTTAACATTAGCATTAATGCCTCTCTTCCATTTCCTTTTTGAAGAAACATCTATGTCATTCACACATTGTTTTCCTTTTCAATGCTATCAAGATTAACACTTTATTAGAAACACAAAAGAAAAAAAAATACAAAAAAAATAACTAAAATATATTAACAACTAATTACAACAAAATAAAGATTTACAACCCAAAAAAAAAAATAATAATAAAAAAATAAACCTCCTACAATAATCAAACTTCCCTTCCTTTGGTTAGAATAGAACTTTTACTGTTATATCATTATTCAATTAACTAAAAGCCTTTTAAATAGGCAACACATCAACAAAAAATAAACTGAAAAATAGTACTACTAAAATGCCTAAATACTATATCTAAATAGTTGACTTCTAAGGACCCACATCAAAGACAGCTTTGAAAAATTGGTAACAAAATCTCATTTAAACTGATGTTGTTGTTTAATTTACTCCTACAACAATCAAACTTCACTTAATTTCCTTACAAGAAAACCCTAACTCACTATTCTATTAATAATAGCAACAAATTCGACATGAAAAAACAAAATAATGGTTCCATTATCTGACATTCTGTTGAAGTAGACTGTTTAACAAATTAAAAACTTATAATTCATAATAAACCTACTCTCTATAATCTTAATAGTCAACAATAGTAACAAAAAAATAAACATAACAAAGAAATAGGACAAACACTGTAATCATCTTTGAAGTAAATTGCAACAGTAGCACCAGACGCCACTAACACAATCTTCAATCTTCAAAGAGAGAAAGAAATTAACAATGCCAGTGAACGAATGCAAAACAAAAAAGGGAAACGAAAAAATTAAAAACCTAAACAAACTAATAAACCGGTTAAATACCCAGCAAAAGAAAATTGGTTTAACACTTATAAATAAATCGGTTCAAACATGTCGGTTCACACTTACAGATAATTTACTAAATTACTAAAACATATTGCTATTATTACTAACAATTGGCCGCACCATTTCCCTATAATTGTAGCCATTGTTGAACAATCTTGTTTAATCCTATAATTTTAACCATTGCTTAACAATCCTATTTAATGTTAACAGTTAAGATGCAAAGTCATTAGTTTGTACAGTACAATTAGAATAGATTATGTTGTCCATTCCCCGTTACTAAATGTAATATTATAATGCCCTTTTCAATTAATACTATATTAAAAGTTTTTTTTGTTTTGTTCATGATAATTGATGCAATGAAATTACCGACCAATATTTTTTTCGCAAATCTTGAGTACCTTCTTATTTCAAGAATCTCCATATCAAAACCATCAACTTCAAACCTGTCTGGTATAGTAATAGCATATTACAGTAAACTAAGTTTTCCATTCCGTGACCTACTTTTTTCACCAATAACAAAGTCATTAATCTTAATAAATAAATAAATTATCATAAATGTTGAAAACATAACTTTTATTTATACAATATGATAAAATTAATATTAATTCTTTTGTATATGATATTTCTTTATATCAACAATAAATATATAATATTTATTTCATATATAATATTTTATTTATTGATTTATTTAATTATCAATTCAATATAAAATGAACTTCAATACAGAAAATATATTTTTAAAACACAAAATAATAATAATAATAATGTAAACAAAATATAATAAACATACATGTGCAACGCGCGGGCTTTTCATCTAATTAAAATATGAAACTATCATTCTATTCTCATGGTTCTATCATATATGCTTATATATCAAAAGGATGAGATTATATCATAAGCTATACATGCAGCTACCTAACAACAAATGAAGTATTAATTCATTGAAATATAGCACATCTCAAGAAATATTTTTTAAAAATAGTTAATTATTAACCGAAATTTCTTTCCAAATGAAATCCAATACAATATTTCAATATTAAATTGGATTGGGTAATGAATTTAGCTGTAGAATTGTAAAAATAATTTATCCAATCTCAAACAAAAAATGACGCATCTCATTTTAATAAACCCAATTTGAAACATCTCTTATTCTCTTAGCAAATAGTATCCATTTAATATAGCTTCTTCAAATTTATAAAATTAGAACTAACGTACAATTTTTATGGAGAAAAATTATTTGTTATCTAAAACATGCAAAATTGATGAAGACCTAATATATATATATATATATATATATAAACATGTTTTTAAAATAATACGATTCCTTATTACTTATATTAATGACTAAAAAAATTATTAAAAAATATTTTATGGCACGAACTAGGTTTTTTTCTTATTTTGCAGAATAGAGCTAGCTGGAGAAAAATAATAATTAATTGCTGGTTGAATGGAGGAAACCAAGAACTCAACGTAGTAGGTTTTGACTATAAAAACACGCTTTTCTTTATTGTTTCATCTCCTTTATATAAAGGATTATAATTAACAAAATATAAAAAATAATGGGAATTAATGCCTGAAAAATAGGAAATAATCCCTCTAACAATCACTCTGCCACAGTCAAATATTATCATTATTTGACTTATTCAACACAATCTACTATTTCTGATAATATTGCCAGCTATTAACAATATGACACAAATTCAGCTTACTTGAATAATTCTTGATAGTTGGTGGTTACCTTTTTCTTCTTCCTTGTATTAATGTATTATAATCTTCCATTTACTCTTACATAATAATTAGCTTATCTTAGATGAGAAGTGATAAATTAAGAATAAAATTTGAAATTATATTCTAAATTATAGTCTTCCATTTCCTTGTATTAATGCAGTAATTTTTTTTTTCTTTGAACGTTTTCCCTCAAATCCATTTTATTAAATTATGCAACTAAATATTTGATAACATATTACATTATGTAATTATAATATACTAAATAACGTAAATATACAAATTTAAAGAAAATCCATTCAAAATAAAACAAGTCTTGTTAATTTCTTTGAGTACCCAGATGGATTACAATGAATACAGGTATTACAATTAAAAGTAGAGCAAATTATAAATAAATGTGATTTACTTTTTAGTTCCCTCTAATTTTAATTTTAAAAAAATTTGTTTTATACATAATTGATTTATTCATTCAATAATTGACCCCATTAAAAAAAAAAAAACCCAGAAATTTTCTCATAAAAGAGAAAAAATCAGAAGATTTATTCGATAATTTGGACATTCATCTTCTGCACAAAATAAATCTAAATCACAATTTTACTGAAACAATTAGTTTCAAGGCTACAGCTTCCCGAACTATATATTTCCTCATTTTCATTTACATAATAGTAAATAAAATACAAACAATTCTAATAATATTCACAAAAAGAATAAGCAGAATCTCCTATATTGTTAAGCCCAGCTCTCCATCGGTCGTTTCCCATGAGGGTCTTTTCTGGGGCTTCTCGTTTGTGTAGGTGTTGAAGCAGAAGCTGTATTGGTATAGCTTGAATCATACGAACGTGTATGGGAAGAACTTCTAGTTTCACCACCAGATGTTCCAACAGTTGACGACAACGATGCTGCTGGTCTACGAGCTCTTCTGTATCTAGAACCTGGTACTCCTGGCCTTGTTGGTTCTTCTAGATTGCCAGGTCCTGGTTTTTTTGATAGCATCACCACGACACGTCGCATGTCCGGTCGTGTTTGGGGATCACCTTGTGTGCACAGCAAAGCTATTTGTATGCACATAGCTATTTGGTCAGCAGCCTGTGATTCTGCTAATTTGGGGTCGACGATATCCAAGCTCCTGCCTTTCTTGTAGAGTTTATATGCCTGCAATGACCAAATTATTGCAAAACTTAGAAATATAGACGATGGACCATAATTCAAGCCACTTATGTCACATTGAACAGAATATGAAGTTCATTTTGTCAGAAAAATGTACGAGAGACACCAAGGTGTTTCAAAATGCAGCATTCTTAGCTTCAAGATTCATTGTAACTAAAATCTTCATACTCCAGTCAAACAAATGGTTTGGATTGTAATCTTACCCAATCGAGTAGATTTTGTGCATCTGCATCCAAATTGAAGTTTGAATTCCTCTGTGCACTGATTAGCTCCAAAACTACGACCCCAAAGCTAAACACGTCTGCCTTAATTGATAAATGTCCATGCATGACATACTCTGGGGCCATATATCCACTGTACTCAAGCATTTAAGAGTTAGAAAAAGGACCCGATATTAAACTAATACCAATAAGTCAAACTTAGACTATAGTCTGCACACAATGATATTTCGATGCTTGACAACGTACTTGGTACCGGCTACACGGGTGTTAACATGTGTTTCATCTTCTGGAAAGAGGCGGGCCATGCCAAAATCAGCAATCTTTGGCGTCCACTTATCATCAAGTAATATGTTGCTAGCCTTTATATCTCTGTGGATGATTCGTTTGTGTGAGTCTTCGTGAAGGTAAAGCAATCCCCGAGCAACTCCAGTGATAATGTCAAACCTTCGCTTCCAGTCAAGCTCCTGACTTCTATTGGATTCTGTATATAGAGATTATTACATCACAATCACTATGACTATAAAGCAAATCGATCCATTGTATTGGAGCCTATAAAAGTAACAAGTAAAATGAATCACTATTTATTTTAATGTCATCAACTTAATGGTCAAGCACATGGTTTTGATATTGGTGGTTTTCTCGCTTTGAGCTACAATGTTTCTGCTAGGATTGGTCAGAGTTGAACTGTTCAGACATTTAGTTTGTCGGGGCATACACATCCAATTTTAACTTTACAGAAAGACAAGTCAAAGTCTTGTTGACTATCTTTCTCAGAGAGTTTTAGGCAAGAAAAAACAAGTTTTAAATGACAAAAAAGGAAAGGAATGAATATTTTCAAATGGATTTAATGGCATTGGTCAAGATTATTGGAACAATGAATAAACATGAGGGAGCAACTTCAAGGTATCATTGACAACTAAAAACACGCAAAAAGGAATGGAAATATAAAATAAAAAGAAAAGAAAGAAAGATAGAACTACACCCCGGCAAGCACCGTGTTTTCTAGAAGACATGTTCAACTCCTACAACCTAGTTTGCCCTGCATTCTTGTCATTTTTGNACAATGAATAAACATGAGGGAGCAACTTCAAGGTATCATTGACAACTAAAAACACGCAAAAAGGAATGGAAATATAAAATAAAAAGAAAAGAAAGAAAGATAGAACTACACCCCGGCAAGCACTGTGTTTTCTAGAAGACATGTTCAACTCCTACAACCTAGTTTGCCCTGCATTCTTGTCATTTTTGTGTTGTGTCATGGAAAAGATATTTTGACTAAACATATTGCAACAACAGAGAGCTCATAGTCATTGTCACCTTATTATAAGTTTCTGTTATTTCCAAAGTAAAAGATAAGTATTTCTCCCCTAAATTTGATGCATCAACTCATCAAAAAGAGTACTCAAGCCGGAATGAACTGAGTTAATGCCATCACAACTAATCATGCCAACATCATTGTCATTCAGCGGCAATTTTCAAGAAATTATTTTTTTAAAGGCCAAAACTGATTATGCAAGCCAATTTTCACAAAATCAACTCATTAAAAAAAATCAATTCCAAGATTAGAAAACAAAAGTAGTAATCAAGATATAAACACTGTACATAACAAACCATAAATAAGCTTTAGATTGTCACATCTAATAGGGTAAATAAGCTGAACATCAGTAAAAACATTCTAAAATGGCAACATTTAGGAATCTCATCATAGCAAAGTATAGATTCCTACATTTCTCCCCAAGCTTTTAACAAAAAGAAGTTATTGACTTAACAGCAAAACATTCATTGCAACTTTATAGGAAAATTTAAAGATACAAACATTCAAGACTTTCTTGGAATTTTCATCTGTTCTAAGGTTTTATTGTACTTACTCATTCACAATTTTTACATATTTACATATAAGACTCACAGAAGTCTAGCAAAATATATGTGCTTCAAAAACTGGCTGAATCTGTAGGAAAAGTATATTAACTTAATTCAGAAATGATATAGGATCTAATCTGAGAAGGAAAATTTTCTGAGTTCTATTTGCAATAAACCATATTAACCTTTATTAATTTTCGAAGAACATTAAAACAAACCCAGCAAAGATTTTCTGTAGTCTGCATTAACATCAGTAGGCAGTATTAAGGTGTGCTCAATTCAGTTAATGGAAATATCTAGTTTCAATTTGACATGAAATCAAACCCATCCAGATAGATAAGTGCAAAATACTTACTGAATAGAAACTTGTCGAGACTCTCATTCGTGATATATTCATAAACCAATAGCTTCTCTGTGCCATGGACACAATAACCTAATAGATTAACAATATTTCGATGCTGCACACGAGCCAGCAACTTGGCCTCATTTTCAAATTCCTTCTTCCCTTGACTTGAGCTATGAGACAGTTTCTTAACTGCTATCTCTCGACCGTCATCTAACTTCCCCTGTAAAGAAAAATCACAGAAAACTTCAACGCCTAGCTTAATTACCAGGAAAACAAAGAAAACCACCCCTTTGAAGAGATAAAATGTGAATCCAAGTGAAACATTCATAACTGAGATGTAAATACAAATACAGAAAAATCAATTAATCAATTGCACTGGCAGCCCTTTTGGCTTCTGATACCAACAATAATCAAACCTTTCTTATTAAACATGATGAATAATGCCAACATTAACACGTAAGAAAAATAAGACATTTTCATTAATTTGTTACTAGAATCATTTCTATAACTAGGCTTAAATCTTCATAATTTCTTATTATTTTATCTCATTTCAGCTCTTGATATAATTAAAAAAAGAGTGCAGAAAACTTCTAAAATAGGTCTATGTGAAAGCTTGTTAGGCAAAGTTATTCCTTTCCAAAAGGAATAGCCAGACTTTTCAATTTCAGAATTTTCAAAAGAATTATTAATAAGCAAAAAGCAACTTCAAGTGGATCTCCAAAGAAAGAAATCAATGAGAACAATCACAAAAACTGTGAAAACTAGAGGCTGAAAAAAAATGAAAAATTCACAATTGATTCCAGCAATTTTCTCAGCAACAAAACAGAACTTGAAATTCCAAATAATTACTAAAAAAACAGAACTTTAACCTTGTAAACAGGCCCAAAACCTCCCTCTCCAAGCTTGTGATTAGGATGAAAATTTTTTGTAGCAGAAACTAAAGTTTCATAAGAAAAATTCTTCTGTTCCTGTGCAGCAATCTTCTCCAAGTCCTCTTCATTCTGACCATCTGATCAAATCACACAATTCAAGAACAAAACATCAATCATAACAACACATCAATGATGAAATATAACATAAAGCTGAAGAAATGAAGTGGGGTAATGGAGTTTTTGTCCATTACGTTTACTAGAACGAAAATTGAACTTCATTAAATTCTGAAAAAACTTCTTGGATTTGGACATGATAAACTCAGCTCATAGAAACTCTAAAAAGGACCCTATGGTTTCTTGAAATCTGGGAAATGATTAAGAATTGTGGAAGAGTAAGAAATGAAGGAGGACGTTGATAGTTGTTTTGCGTTGTTTCGTTTTGTGACTTTTATTTTTTTATTTTATTATCTAATTTTCCTGGAAAATTTGCAGTGTTGACTCAGGGCCCTGGTTGACCGTGTTGCTTTTTTTTGGGTTTCACATTATGTTATGGACAAATTACACAAACCAGCCCTAGATTCTGTGACGCGATTAATGTACCCAAATATTTCAAACCTCAACAATAAGATACCATTAAGGAATTGAAATACTTGGATTTTGTGCAATTACAAAATCATCCTTTAAATTTAAAACATATATTTAGGATAATATTATGGCTTGAACCTTATATCATTTTTAATAAACAAATATAACAAATAGTAAAAATCTCATATCAATCCTAGAGTAAAAACTTAATCTATTAATGATGGCATGTCCTAATATAATCTGTTGTGACATATGAGATCGCATTTGATGATAATGGGTCTATCGTGGTTAGATTATTGGTCGTGTTATAACCATATAGATCAGGTAGTGTCATGTTACCTACAATCTGTTTAGTTTGTGATTTTAAGGCATTGTAGTTGGTTGTGATCATTCTAATGATCAATTAGTTTAGAGTTTAAGAAATTTGTGTTGAAATCGGAAGGAATTTAATCTTAAATATTGAAATACTATTTAACCCTTGTATAGTTTATTTTCATGAATACTGTTTACTGTTAAATTTTGAAATATCTAGGAGATGAGTGTTGTTTTATAAAACATTGGGTAGGTTAATGTAATTTTTTCTTGAGTAATGTAAGTAACAGTCAATGCAAGAAAGCTCTGCGGCGTGATGATGAGGTCATCGCTTTGGTACTAAATCAAAGAAATAAAAAATGAAAGAAATGTGAATATTATTTTAAAGATGTAATAATAATAATAATCTTCATTCAAGTTTCAATGGAAATGATATAAAAAAAAAAAATTAAAAAATTGAGACCCTTCTCCATCACCAATAAGATCCTTAACTGACGTACATATAAAATGTATATATGTTTCTCGTGTTTGAATAAATATAAATGTTCTCATTTATAGAAGACTTTCTCTTTAACCTAATAAGATTAGTAAATTAATGGTTCCTTATAACTAATAGTTCTGTAATTTTTCTTGCTGATTTACTCCTAAATTATTTCTAAAAAATTTACAATAATTGACATATAAAATAAAAAATCATATTTTTAATATATATATATATATATATAGATGTGACATTGCATAAATTTCATATTTTTATTTTTAAAAAGCTGTTATCATTATATCTTTAACACAAGGAGGGCTAGCCCAAAAAACATATTTATAAGAGCAATTTTTGTTTAATAATTGAATACTCCATTAATTTTTTTTTTCTTAGTTATTGACAAAATAATATTATATAATCAAATTTGCTTAAAAGTAAATTCTTATTTGAATTACAAACATAAAGTACTTCCGGTGCGTTTGATTCATTATTTTGATACTTTTTAGAATAATATTTTGAAAAAAGTAAATTTAGATAGTTATTATATGATAGGATTTAAAAATTAACAAAAACATCCCCCTAAGTTTGTTAATTTACTAAACACCTTTGTAATAAAACATTAAAAATTAACAAAAACATCCCCACCGACCCATTAAATATTGGCAACAGCCACCACCGTTGGAGGGTGGTCGAAGTTGCTATATCGACGCACAACCAGCTGGATCTAGCCGGTCGTGCATCGATATAGCCTTTCTTGCCAGATCCACCGTAGATCTAGCTGAAAAATGCCAGATCTACAGCTAGATCTGGCCACGTTTGGTTGTTAACGACGGCAAAAAATATGGTCGTCGTTGACGACTAGCTACGGCCAAAAATCTAGCTGTAGATCTGATCTTTTTCGACTAGATCCATGGTGGATCTGGTCGAAAAAGAATAGATTGGTGTACTATCAGCCAGTAGTGCACTATTACACTAGATTACGCTATCTTTCGGTGGTGGTGACCAGAATCTAGTAAATGTGGGTTGATGAGTGTGTTTTTATCAATTTCTAAACTTTTTTTTTTTCTGTGTTTAGTTAAATTAATAGACCTAGAGGATTTTAAAAAAAAATTTGAATAAAATAAAATAATATTTTTAAAATAAAGAAACAAATATGTATTTTGGATAAGATAGAAATAGGATAATGGAAAAATTGGGAAGCAAACGCACCTATTTTGAAAAGCAAGTACTTGAACATAAAGTAGGCACATGGGTTTTGATTTTAAGAAAAAGGTCTGAAAAAATAATTAATGGTTTCAAACGTATCAGTCAATAAAGCAGCTTATCACAATGGTTATCTTAATCTATAGAATATTGGCGTTAGGCCGCCAAACAATCTTGCTTAATTGTCTATCCTACTTCTCCCCTCGTGGGGGTCCAATCATATTGTATATGGTCATAATTTTAATCATGAAGTTTATAATAATATTAAATATAAATTAAAAAATTCAAGAAAAAGTAGTATTTGATTGTTATTTCAAAATCAATCGTAAATATTTAATTATTTTTCGTAGGACACGAGTGTAGATGATCTTGTTTTGACCCACCAAACGTCTAGTTTGATTATTATTTATTTAATCAAGTAAACTCAAAAATTCTTAGATAATATTATTTACACCTTTCATTCACCGTAAAATATTACAATTTTAGTTTTTTATTTAATATATTTTCATAAAAAAATAAATTTACAAGTTAGTTAGGTAGAAGAAGAGACATAATTATTATTAATATTCATTGAATAATCCTTAAATTATTAAATTACATTGGATTAATGGTTAAGATTTGTATTATTAAATTATGTTAAGATAGATAGCTTGACTCTTGGTTATAAAAAAAGAGATATCAAAACGAGGAGAATAATTGTTGCACCCAACCAATATATTTTGTACATAGGAAAGAGTGAACCATACACGGCCACGGGTGAGTTGAATTAAACCTATTCAACTTAAAAATTAAAAAAAAAAAGGTGGAATTTATAATTTTGAATCTACTTAAATTCATGTTGACCACACAAAAATGAATTATTAATGAACATTTTTTTTTTTTAACATTTTCTCTCTTCTTTGTTTTCTCCAATTTTCTCTCATATTATCTTTTTCTTTTGGTTGAATATTCAAGAAAGACTATTCTTTTGGATTATAAGATAAGATGATGCACTTTTTATTTTTTTCCTTAAAATCTTTTTTCTTTTAGCTTTCTTAATTAACGAAAGATCATAAGCTATAAGTTTTCGTTAAGTTTAATAAATGAATTTGAAATTGGAAGATTAAATTCCTACATTTTGATATGGATTTTGATTTAATTTTGTTTTTATTGAGGTATGGGTTAATTAGTTGTTGTTTTAAGTTGGGTTTGATAAATTCAGGTAGTTATTGAGTTAATTTTGACTGGTTTAAGGAATTGGTAAAACCCTAAGTTGTAGAGATTTGAAGATTTGGTTTAATTTTGACAAATTAGTTAATTATTTGATAGTTAGGTTGTATTTAAGAGTTTTCATGGGTTTATGAGTTGAATTTTATTGGGTTAATATAAATTGTTTGAAAAGTCTAAGTTATAAGATTTAAGGCTTCAGTTTATAATTGATATTTTGAGTAGAGGTGGTCGGATCCGGGCACCCTAGATTTTTTGGAGGAACCGGAACTGGAACCAGCCCATTCCTGAATAGGTGGAACAGAAACCTGTGAAATAGGTTCTAGTTCCGGTTCCAGGTACTCGAGATAATTATGAAATGGTCCCTATTAGTTTAAAAATGACAAAAGCACATTTAAAATTACAAATACACCCCCATTTGCTTACAAAAATACAAATATGATTGATTATTTATTTCAGATGGCCCAAATACAAATCAGGACATTTTTTATTTGATAAATTCTTTAAGTTTTCTCTTTTTAATCATTTTAATTATTTTAAATAATTTTAATATATAGTCTTCGCATGCATCCATTTTTAATATATAGTAAATTAAAACTATATAAATTTATAACCATCCATTTATATTTATTTAATTGTTTAAGTTTAAATTAAATTTTACATTGCGAAGCTAAAATTAAATTATGTCTTTAAATTAAAACCATTATAAATTTATAACCATTCACTTATATATATTTACTAATTAATTAAAAATTTACAGACCACCCCTTGATAGATTACCAAAAAACCCCTTACATAATTAACTATAAAAAATTAGGGAGCTAAATGGATATTTACTATGTCTACATAGGAAGGCCAGGCCCGGGCCTAAGATTGGTCCGAGCCCTCACAAAAGTGACGGGCCCAGGACTATCCCAGCCAATTTGGGCCTAGACCCTCAGGACCGCCTGTGCCCAACGTTGCCCACCTCTACTAAAAATCCTATCTACGACTCTCACCATATATAAAGTATTATATATATTTTTTGTTGAACAAGTCTACACTTAAAGAAAGTTTATACAAACTGACGTAGAGTGTGCATGCGTCGCGTGGCATGTGGACCTACATAACACTAACATAATATTAAATAATATGGGTCCCATGTCATATGACACTGGTGTGGCATGCTACATCAGTTTGTAAGAGAGTTTGTACAAATAGCTTTTTCCTTTTTCCTTTTATCAATTTGGATAGGTAATATGATAATTAGTTTTTAAAATTATTATTAATATATAATATAACAAAATGAATATTATTGTAATTGTATCTAATTTTATTTATATATTATCAAACATTGTTGCATATTATTAAAATATCATTTTACTTGACTAAAATATTGTTCTACTTGATTTAAACATCAATCTGTCTGTATTTAGTTCAATTTTTAGTTGTCTTCCAAGAGAAAAAACTTATACAATCTGACAAGTCACAACTTAATTTTGTTAATGATATATGATTATCGATTAAAATAGTATCATTTATTATCAATAATCACAACCATAATTCATTGAAAAATGTCACTATAATGAGTAGTTGTATAATCTAACATAAATACGACAATATTTCATTACTTTTAATGCATTAGCAAATTGAAATGGTGAGAGTTTTTCTTCATCCTAGTGGCAAGATTTATATATAGTCTTCATATTAATGAGTTCCCTTGTTTACAGGGCAATATCTTTTTATTGACTGAATAAGAGACGGATGGTCTTCCATAACTTTCTAAAATTGACATGATTTATTGGTGCCTGCATTGACCTAGCCTTCTCCATGTTGTTTTCTAGTGTTAGAGGAAGCATGCTTTCTCAGCTTAACCTAATTGTCTTTCTATCACGGCTGACTTATTTCCCGCTGTATTCGGAAATTCGATTCTTAATCTTTATGGCACGACTTGCACAGGTAACGTTTGTGAAACCGGCATTTATTCAAATAAATCAACACGTTTTTTTTGTCGATAAACTCTACCAAACCGACGCATAATGTGGGGTGTCCTCAGTATCTGGGCTCTGAGGTTTTAAAAGCTTGACAAGGTGGGGATCAATCTGGCTGGCCCATGAAAGGGAGTGTCAACGTTCTATTTCCCAATCAAAATTGACCAAGAATATTTGTATCTTAATTTTATGAAATAAGATTAAATGAAAAAAAATTTCATTTGTAACCTGATAGAAATGGGAAATAGTATTTTTATGAATGTTTCTGAATTTGAAGTATCCCTTTGCTTGTAACTTGGGATTTGAAGATTAATATATAAAATAATACGGCATGCTTTCTTTGAAGTAATTTTACAGTAGAATAATATAATTTATTATATACATTTTGTAAGCTTTCTTTCATGAAAATGAAACCATTTTTTAGCTTCAAAGTTTGATGGGATTAAAGCATTTTGTAAGGTAAGAAGCCCACTTCGCTTAACCTAACACATCCTCCCTATGTTTATACATTGTATTCCACTCTTTTTATTTTTTATTTTTAAACCAAATAAATATGAATTTTTTATTTTATTTTTATAAAAACTACTATAATAAACTTTACTTCTATAAGTTCTGCTAGAAAAAACCATATCAAATGAATCCTTAATACTACATTTAAGTTAATTCAATAGTAATTACCATTTTTAAGCATTTTATCTTCTCACTTTCCAAGTGAATAATATATAATTCTAAAAATCGAAAATAATATTTAGAAGATCATTTTGTTGGGTGTCAATTATTTTGTGCATGGCTGTTTTGTCCTACTTGTGCGCACCATGTTTGGCTTGTCAGAAAATTGGATCGAGCTAAGAAAATAATTGGAATGTGACAAATTTTAGAACCCTCTGAGAAATTTGCTGATATTAATTTTGCAGTACCATGATCCCAATAATTCCAAATGGGTGTGAACAATTATCATATTTGTATCAAATTTTGCATGAATTGTTTTATCTATATCTCATGTGAAGGAGTTTATAATTGGATTTAATCAGGATGCATGTGAATATGTTAGACACAATCTAGGTTAATTAAGTAGGTGGATTTGGATAAGAATAACAATTAATTGTTTTAATTAACTTTATAAACTAAGTCAAGCATATTGTAAATATATAACGTCCACCAACTCCATAGACTTTATGATAGTATTAGTTAAAAAACCTAATCTTTTTGACATTCCTTAACCCTACTAGGTTTGACAATTTCATAGATTAAAATTAGTGTCGTTTAAAAAGTTAATTAACTGTATCATTAAGTGTTTACTTTTATGAGATCAATTAATATAAATATAGTTATATTATTAAAAATATTATATATTTTTTTTAAATTAAGGAAAAATCTTTCAAGATACAAGAGTATTGAAAACCTCATTTTAAGAGTATTTTATATTTTTCTTAATTATCATTGATGAGGTTAATATCTATGGATCTCTCATGTATTGAAATAAACTCATAATGTTATAAATAAAAGTGTTTTTGCCTTTGACAAATGAATTATTAAAGAATCCCAGACATTTTCAAATGGGTTGAATTTTTTAATTTCGGCCAATTCAAATATATTTTGCTCACGAATTCTCGAATGGTTTGAAAGTCTTTGATGGGATGGGTCAAATGTTACCAACCCCATATCTTTAACCTTGTATTATAGTAATTAATTAATACAATAAAGCCTACCCTAAGAGAATCCACTCATTAATCCCAAGGCATTCCCAGAACTTTGGTTTAATAAATTCATTTAAAAAAGCAACAGTTTGGTACATGAACATGGTGACATCTTTACATTCACAACTCCATTCATAAACAAATTGAAAGCCACCTACCCTTAATTAACTTAAAAGACTATAATTATAATTATAATTATAATTAATCTTTTAATTAAGCACCCGCCGAAAGTTAGTTTAAAATGGTAGCTAATAATCATAATCCAGCTGCTGCCTCTTGATCCAACCCAAAAGTGAAGAATTTAATTAAGGCTGCAGCCTTCATCAAATTTTAGAATGATATTATCATCTTGGCCATGCACGTGGAAGGAATAAATTAGGGTTTGCGATATGTTAGTAACATAATTATAGGGTGTGTTGTAGTTGTAGATGGGAATTAATCTATAATTAATAAATAAGTTAAAAATTAATTAATTGGAATAAGATTGCGTAACATTATGAGTGCCACCATTAATGGCTTTTAATTAACAACGGGTAAAATATGCTTTAGAAGTACGATAAGACTATTTCTTTATGATAATTTAACCTAAGGTCACATAGTTTGTTATATGTTAATTGTGTGCACAATGCAAGATTAAAAAAATCCTATAACCAATAGATCGAATCCAACCTATTGAAGATCTTTGTTCATATAATATAATATAATACGATAACTCAATATATCAAAGATCTTTATTTATATACATAATACAATATGATGACTCTGAACCTATCGAAGATTACTTATATAAAACGATATGATACTTACAAAGAGTTAGTTGAGTGGTTATGGTTTGTTCTCCTAAGATTAAGAATATAGGGTTCAACAAGGGCTTCGGGTAGACTCTAGTTTTGAATTTGGCTTCGGAACATAAGGTCACGAAGTGAATTCTAATTCTTGAAAAGACTTACTTTTAAGCTTTGTTCTTTTGTTTTTATTTTCGAAAATTCTTAACCTTGTTTTGTTTTAATTCTTGAAAAGACCCACTTTTTCCTTTTTCTTAAGCTTTATCCTTTTGTTCTTATATCTAAAAATCATTGGCAAGTAGAAAACATTCTCATTAAACTCAAAAAATGCGAGAGAAAATTATTTATCGCCTCCCAAAGATTATAGGGTTCAATGGGGCCTTCGCAAAGTAAGGTCACGAATGAAAATTCAAACCTTATGAAAACAAACTGGAAACCTGATGGCTCGAGCGGGCTTATTGGTTATCTTTTTAAATCTTTGATTGTGCGGTGAAATGAAGCTCTACTTTGGCTATTTGTGTCCAAGCTGGAAGTGTTAGGCCAACCGACAAATTTGTTTTATAGCAATTATATTGTCTTGCTTAACTTTTGTTGGTTTCTACCAACCAACTGTTGTTTTATTTATGCTTAAAGCAACATCCTAATTTCAATTTTTAAACCTACTCTCATTGTTTTATTTACTTCCATCTTTGTCACAAAACATTAAAAAAAAAAACAGAATAAACAAACACTCACTTTATATACTTACAGAAGGACGGATACATTTAGTATACAAAAGTACAAACCCCTTGTGAAATAGACAAAGAAAAAAGAAAAAGAGATTAAAAAATTAACCCCCAAAATAAACAACTCTCCTAATTCTCTAACTGTCCAATAAACTAATCCTAATTTTGCCTGGCAAACTTGGAATCTTTGTTGGATCATTGAGTCCAGGCCTTTTTCTCACAAACATAATACAAATTGACAGCTTGGTTGCCTTCATAACCTCACTACCCTACACACACATAAACACTCATCATTCCACTGTTTTTTCCCCCAAAAAAAAGTGCATGATGAGCTCAACCCACCAAAAATTTGGGTTAACCTTTGACACCAAAACCATTAAAATCAAAATTAAAAACTGGGTAGACTTGCAAAATTTCATTTGTAGTCCACCAAAAGATAAAGATCATTAGGCTGATCTTTTAATTACCAGGAGCTTCCCTCTCCATCCAGGGACTTTCCTTTGAAATTTTGTTGCAATTTTCCAAATGCATTTGGTGCTTCTTTGTCCTAGAATTTGAACAATCTGCAATTATCAAACACAGAATTTTAATGGACATGTAACAGATTTAAGTGACTTGAATTGATAAAGTAAGAAGTAAGAACAATACCTGTAATCTTTTTTTTGGAATTGATTTGCGTTTTTATGAAGCAATATGTTCGATATTTCTTGCACGTTGCTCAACGCTTCTGAGATCGCGAAGATGTTGTAGGATTTCCTGGAGAAGATTTACTCCTTTATCTCCTTTTCTCAGGGAGCTCATGCAATGCTTGAGAAATTCTCTATCTGCCTCAAGTGCTTGTAGCCTTTCGTAGACATAATCGACCTCTTCCTCAAGAGCAAACCTCTTGCTGTCCAGTTCAAATTTTGTGATAGAGGAGTTCTGCGATGCAACAGAATCAAACTCTAGTTCATGTCCATTGAGAATTCCATCTTCAGTTTCAGTACCAATTGCATCAAAAAGAGGAAGAAGTCTCTTCGCCTTAGCACCGATAATTTTCCTTTCTTGATAATGAAGTTTCCCATTCATTTCTTTGAAATGGCCATTGGCTAGCCCATTAATTTCACTTTCAAAATCATAAACCTCAGTATAGCCATTACCATTCTCTCTGTGGAAATGATCAATTGATTTTATATCCTCAAAATGTTGCTCCTCGTCGTCGTTTAATATAAACAATTTTTCTTCCAAAACCTTGAGTTGCTCTAGAATGGATAGCCTTTCATCCTCAAAGTTAGCCAATGACTCCTCCAAATATAGAACTGCATCAGCAGGAGTGTTCTGATTGCTACTTTCTTGGTTATTCTCAGGGCTCTCTACTTCCTTCACTTCGTGATTCAAATCAATAGATAGACCATCGCTATCCTCAGCATTGCTGCAAGAAGCAGATGAAGTTCTGCTTCTTCTTCTTAACATCATCATTTTCTCTTTCGACTCATAATCATGAACCTTCTTTCGATATAATTCGAGCTCTTTTTCAATCTCGGCCTTCTCCCTCTCCCTCTTTACCATAAGCTCATTCAAAAGCTGCAATGCTTCCTGGTCATACTCCGATTGTTCCTCCATCATTCTTTGATACTGCAAAGCTTCCATCTGCATCGCCGCTTTCTCTTCCTGAAGCCTATTTATCATCGCCATTGTCTGGCTCGCCGCCACTGCTGAAGCACTCCTCTCTTCTTCTAATTCTGCATATAAACCATTTAACGCCTTTCGTTCTGCTCTCAATGCTGATTTTAACTTCTCAACTGTCATTACTCCATCTCCAGAATCAATGTCACTGATAACACTTCCACCATCCAAGGACTCTTCTGCTCCGGATTCTCTTCGATCAAGTAGTAGGAACTTCTTGTGTAATTGATGAAAACTATCAACAGAAGTCGGCGTATCAGGAACTTTATCTTCTTCAATCTCATTAACCTCCGAGGGAATTGACAAATGATTGATTGTCTCAATTGTTATGGTCTTGAACTCTACATTATCATCTTCAACTTGCTTACAACCTAAAATCAAAACAATCACATTAGAAGATCAACTACAATAACTCCTGAAAGTTGTAATATAAGAAGATAAAAGCTTACCATTATCTACATGCAATTCAGAAGAACTAGCAAAAGGTTCTTGTTCATTTTGAATGTCATCAATCGGTTCATGCTCCGGAATCTCTGTCCCTATCGAGATCTCGGCATCAATTTCATCATTTTTCATTCGAAGTGCTTCATCAGAAACTGCAAACACATCAACAAAATTGCTTCACTCATGCCCTAGTTTCATCAAACAAAAGTTAAAATAAAGATTCTACCAAAATAGAACTCATAATGTACCCTGATTAAAATCTGATTCCAATTCCACATCTCCTCCTGCTGTTTCCTCACTTGCTTCAGCATCACCTTGAGCATCAACAGACGGGGTCTGAGGCGTTTGCGCGACAGCAACTTGTTCGGGCTCGTCTTCGATTGAATCTCCAAATTCTGCTTGTATAAATGAAGACCACTCGTTCTCACTCTCACTCTCATTCTCTTTTTCATCCTCATTCTCTTCTTCCACTGGTTCAAGCACCATAGCCTTAGTTTGCTCCTCATTTTCATGGGCTGAAAGTGATGCCATTGCCTTTTCTGAACTGAACCTGTTCTCCACATTCTCCATTACCAACTCAACTTCTGTCCCAACATCATTCATGGTAAAATCCAAAATAACATCTTCATTTTCACCGTTTCCCTCACCTTCATCCCTCAATTTGTACCCACTTTTCCCTTCAGCCGTCGCCGGATCCATCAATTCAACTGGAATCAAATGACAATCCTCTCCATCTATGTAAAACTCTAAATGCTTAGTCGTACTTTCAGGAGGTGCTTGATTTTTACTCTCATCACAAGATGGATCCTCTGTTGAAGCCTTCAAAGCTTCCTCCTTTGAAGAAGAAGACTCTTGTTCTTTCTCTATAACAACATCCACTTCATCATCTTCATTAGTTGAACAATTCTCCTCTATCTCCAATTCTCTCCCTTCAATTAAAATTCCCATGTCTTCAGCAATCTTTTGAACATCTTCAAGTTGGTTGGTCAAAGAATCCGATCTACTTTGATCAAAATGATCATCATCTCCATCTTGCTCAATCAAATTTTCCTTTTGGGGATAATCCAACACCTCCCAAGAAGGCTTAAACAACACATATGGAGAGTAAAACTTTCTCTCCAAGTTGACTCCACAACAAGAACATTTAGGCTCCACCTCACCATTTTGAGCACCATCTTCACCATTTTGAGCGATTCCAATCTGCTTCATCCATGGAAAGAAAGCGTAATCCTTTGAGAATTCGCGATGCGACGAGGACGAGCAATCCTCACACATATCTTGCGATTCAGAAAGAGTTTGATGATTTGAGCAGAACCCCAGTTTAGAAATCTCTTTAGCATGATCATCGCACACAAGATCTCTATAAGAATCCTTCTTCTTTGAAGAGTCGAAGATGTGATCGAGCCTTGAACACCAAAGACAGGGCTTTTTGAGGCCAAAATACTCTGCATATTTGATGATTAGATAAGAAAACAGAGAATTTAAAAGAAGAAGAACGATCAAAGTCCATTCCAGAACTGCATAGACTAGAATAAGAGTAATCTTGTTGGTGTTTCTATGTAACATGGTGGCAAATTTGTTGGCCGCCATTGATGCTTTACTCTTTTTCTTATATATATACAAAACCAGAGTAAAAACAGAGTGAAACAGAGCAACTTGCAGGCAGGCTATGTAAAAAGACAAAGAAGAAGATGTAAAACTGATGAGAATCAGAAACAAAAAAATGGAATTTTGAGAGATGGTGAAGAAGAAGTTATGGAAGAAGGAGAAATTGAGTAAGAAAGAGAGAAGGAAGTGGTTTTAATTAGACTGAGAAAAGGCGGGTTGGAATTGGGATGACAGCCAAAGAAGGCTCAAAGTTTTTTATAAAAGAATTTAAAATTATTTATAGATTCAGAGAAAATTAAAGAAAGTTTTTTCAAGTGTCACAGGATCAACTAATTCAACAAGTAATAGATTACACCATAGATTAATTAAAAAAAATATATTTTAATAACATGTAATTTCCATTAAATAAAATTAATTCTTAGATTTTATTTGCCTTCTTCAAAACGTTTTAATAGTTAATCTCTTTTGCAAACGCCCCCGATATTAAAATCTTATGTGCGAGAGTTGAAGTTTTAACTTTTAAATATAAGAATTTTGGGTGGGGGTTAATTTGTTAGTTTTAGAAAGAGAAATTTGGGTTATAAAATGAAAAATCCCGGAACTTGAGGGGTCCACGGAATGTAAAAGAGTTAGGTGGACCACACTCAAAGTAAAGTATGGGACCCATTTAGGATGCCAGATGCTCCTCCTCATCATGCAAGTCTGTTTCTCTTCAAGCTTTTACACAACTGGATTTTTCTTTTAACAATATAATTATATAATTTTATGCTTGTCATGTTTGTGTTAAAATTCATATTTTTGTTATAAATTTACATTTAATATATTTGTAAGATTATTTTATACTTGTAATTTTAATTTTTTTTTTTACTTTTTTAATGTTAAGTATTTCCCCCCAACAAAAATATTTGTTATAAATATTAAAACATGAACATTTATGTCATTTACTATTTTTTTCATTAAATTTAACGGAGTTTTGTCTCTTTTTAAACTATTGTGAAACTTGTATCCGTTTTATTATTATATCCACGAACGTTGTCCCCTGATTGATAATATCTCATATAAAGAAACTAGTTAATTTATGAATTTTTAAGGATGTTATAAGATATACATAAATAAAATTTATTTGTTTTCTTTTTATTAATTACCAATAATAATTGTGGATTTGGTTTACCTTAAAAATGAAATGAAGAGAGAATCATATGATTTTAAATGAAATGATTTCATTTCTTAATTTGTATGGCATGGAATGGTACTAATTTTGGGTTAACTCTGTTTTAAAAGAGGCAATTCTCATAAATGGTTTCATATTAGAAAACAAATGGGTTATCATTTTTAAGTTCATATTAGAAAGTATATTTAAAATTTCTAAAAATATTGAAATGCTTGAGACTTAGCAGTTTTTCATGGTAGATAAAATTAACCCATATATATTGTGGATGTGGGAAATTATTGATTTCCTTTTAAAATATAACAAAAATAATAAAGTGCTCTTTAATTGTTATAAAATGTGATTCAATTTGGGCAACTTCTTTCATGAAAGCTTGAGAATTAAAATGCTTAACAAAGTCTTAATTTGGTTAGAGTCCGATTGGGTTTCTTTGTTGTGGGCCATGGCTGCACCGCCAAATATTTAATCACAAATTCAACTATCTAATCATCATTTTAATTAATATTTCTTTTTACATTGAAATTGCTTTATCTGAATCAATTACCAACCAATTAATAACATTTTTTTTTATATAATTTATTATTCATACAAAATTTCAATTTTTTTTTTTTAAATTTTTCTTGCCTTTTGTTTTTAAAATAAAGTATTAAATTAATATTATAATAAAGATACCTTTCCAAACAATTTTAATTATAACCCCTTTTAAATCCGCTCCTAAAACTTAAAAATATAAAAATGAATTATACATAATATTTTTATAATCTCCCTCTTTTGGGAAGGGGCCTCAATTGTGTGCTTTTGCTTTAATCAATTTTGCTCCATAGCTTTTGATCAGCTGATGATCCAAAGTTAAATTCATTTTAATTTAAAGATCATTTTGTTTTGTTTCCCCTCTTCTTTTATTACTTTTAACTGTAACCATATAATTAATTAAATAACAAATATTTTACACTTTTTTCTGGAATTTTGTGACTGCTTTTTTACTTTAATTTAGGATTTAAATGTGAATTAGGGCTTAATTTATTTATTTATTTATTTTTTTAAAAAACCCTCTTTATACTTTTAATTTTTTGACCAAAAAGTATAACTTAAATTTGAAATTTGTGTTTTCCACATGAATTTGCATTCAAAGAAGGTCCCATTTGATGTTCAAATTGTCTAATCTATGGCATGATTTGTAGTATTAATTAAAATATAAAAAATAATCTTTAATTAACTTAGGATTCATCTAGAATTTTTGTGGGTATTATTAAAAAAAAAACATTTATGGCGAGTTATTATTTATTTTTGTTTATTTGTAATGTTTAATTAATTTAATTTAATTTTAATTAATTGTTGTTTCCAGACAGAGCTATATTAATTCTTTTATAAATAAATAAAGCTCTTAAGAAAATAAATTTATCAATATTTTAGATGCCAATCTAGAAGGTTTTCTGTATTTAAAATTTTCATTCATAAATTAGATATTCCTTGGATACCATCATACCCACATGAGTCTTTCAATTTTTATAAACTATTTTTTGAGTGAACAAAGTAAACAAGTAAAGTAAATAATAACATAAAATAACTTAATATTATATATATATTGTAAATATAATTGTTCAACTATTTTAAAAGCCATATCTAACAGGCTCTTGGACTGTTAATTAAAAATTAAATAAATGGTTTTAATTGAACAATTTTTAAGCCGTATCAAACAGGCTCTTGGACTGTTATTAAAAATTAAATAAATAGTTTTAAATAGGTCAAAATTTTCTAGAATGGTCCAAGATCATGTGACAAAGAACACGTTAATTTTTAAATTCATCAAAGTTTGGTCTAAAATTATGAGCCACAGCCACTACAAGTTTAATTAATTTTAATGGAAAGAGGGACCCCTTTGAGGCGTGGTTATAAAGAAATCTCCAACAATTGACAAAGTATTTTTAATCTTATAATTTTTGCTTAATCTCATACTATAATCATACAAACGGACCCCTTTTCCTCAGTCCCAATCATACTCTTCAATCCGTATTTTTAAGTTTCCATTTGCATCATTTAAACAGATAATTAGTAGTTATTTATGAATTGTGGTGACGGGTAGATGAATGAAAAAGTTTGATAAATATGTGGTAACAAATATTGTTATATTATTATTATTATTTTTTTTTTTTTTATGATCAAAGTTTCCGAACTAGTTTACACGTATTTCAACTAATCACTAAAGCATTGAATATCTTACAAATGTAATGTTTCAAGGTAAGCAAAACAACCCTTTAGGGCTCATGCCATTATATTATTGAGTAATGTCACATTAACAATTTATTCTCACAACCCCAACGTGGTAGCTCACAATTGGTCAGTCGTAATTTATCAGGTGGGATATATTATGAACTGAGCAATTGTGAGCTATCACGTCGGGATTGTGAGAAGAGGTTGTAGGTTTAACATTTTCCTATATTATTGGATGATCTCACATACTTCAATTGTCTCATATAAATATTTCTCTAATAACTCTAGCACATTATATTATCGACGCTTATTCTTGATTAGGATATCGTTTAACTGTTAGAAATGCCTTGGTCCTTAACCCTTATTAGAATATCATTAATCCGAAATGCTCTAAGCCTCAACCCTAATTAGGATGTTATTTATTTGGATGATTGGGTATCCATCCAAAAGATTAAGAATGGCATGTATATCTTTCTTGATAGATATAATTAAAATGGGATTAATTTAAATTAAAGTCTATTAAATTAGACTAAGATATGGAATATTAAATATTCTCTAGATTTCAGTGCATAACATGTATTTAAAAAAAAAAAAAAAAAAAAAAAAACGATACATGGGCGTAAATATAAGGGTTGTTTATAGATGAAAGGCCCAGAAAAGCATATTTTATGAAATTTGGTGTAGGGCTCATCAGCATCATGCAATATGAAAAATATCATATGATATAATTTATTATAAAGATTGATTCTGACTTTAAATTTCAGTTGAGATAAGCATTAGCTATAGTTGAAGTGTCCAAATCTTTTGGACATGGACCTCAACCCAGCACTGTTTGAGATTCACTTTCAAGTGGGTGGTGCACAAAATTAGGCTAACTTTTTTTTTTTTTCAGTTTCAAGTTTTTCACGTTAAGTTTTTTAAAAAAGAGTGTTTTTTGTATACACGAAATTCTCAATTGCGAAGTTTGAAAGTTTTTTAATATGTGAACAAAATTATGATTATAAATTATCTTTTTACATTAGAAAATTAGTTTTTTTTTTTCTAATAAAATGATATAATAATCGGACAATTATATGATGGATATTTTTTTTTTATTTGTAATAACTTTGGTTGGTTTGATGTATGAAATTGAAAGGAACTAGAACTAAAGTGAAGAGAATAAAAGTTCTCTTAAAGGAAGCTTTTGAACATTATTTTAGTAAATAAATAAATAAAATATTTTCGAAAAAATAATATTTTCTACTATAAGACACATTATATTTTAAAACTAAAACCCTAAAATTCAAGATATATATAATTATATTTATATATGATGAAAAGGCTGAGTTTAAAGCTGATGAATTAAGAAAATCAAACTAAATTGAAAAAGAAAAAAAATTGTTGTTTACCAAGAAAATTATTGATGAACAAGACTTGCATATTATATCATTTATATATTTATTTAATAAAATCTTATTATTTTGTATCAATTTTGAAAATACCCTTTATTTATATATATAGTTATATGTAATAGCATTTTACTAGATAAACCCATCTATGGGTAGTTTAGGGCGAATAAAAGATGGGGCAGATAGATATACGATCTCAGATTCGATTCCCCATCTGATATCCGATTTAGTAGGATAAATGTACAATATGATATGATTTTCTTTTATTTAGTATTTTTTCCGCTTGATTGGAACCTAAAGAAAACAACATTTAATTTCTTAGTCAATAAATAAATAAGTAATTAAAGATGGTAGAAATGTCAAATTAAAAGAAAAATGTAATAGCGCAGTAATTGTGAATAATTGTAATATATAAACTTTTAAT